TCTCTCTCTCTCTCTCTCTCTCTCTCTCTCTCTCTCTCTCTCTCTCTTTCTTTCCTTTCTCTTTCTCATTCTTTCTCCTTCTCTCTCTTTATCCCTCTCCCTCTCCTTCTTCCTTTCTTTCTCTTTCTCTTTCTCACTCTCTCTCTTTCTCTCTCTCTTTCTCGCTTTCTCTCTCTTTCTTTGTACTACCCCACCTTTTGCTTTCTCTCTCTCCTCCTTTCCTCCCTCCCTCCGTTTTCTTTTCTCTCCTTCCTTTCATCCTTCCTTCCCCTTTTCAAATTGCCACCTGACGTTTTTATGGTCACTCACCGGCAGCTGCTTCTCCAGGCAAATGTTGAATTTCTTAGTTTGGTTGGGCTTCAATTTCTTCAGAGGAATCCTCGTTTCGCCAATGAACTCGTTGTGGCGGAACTTGTCTTCGTCGCAAACCGAGATTCTGAAAGGCACAGGAGAGGAGATGGGAGACGGAGGAACAAGGCCACAATTTGGCCGTGCGAAGGGTTACTTAATAACGTCCATTCAACACAATCCCTTCCTTAAACAGCAGAAGCCTTGGCTTAGCCTGGATCGTTAACAGCAGGGACGGGCAATCATTCGAGCTGTGAAGTCAAGAGAAGGATGAGCAAGGGGGTTGGAGTAGGAGACCTCTAAGTCCAGTCTACAAGGAAGAGTCCAGGCACAAAACAAAGGAAGCCTTCAGGCCCAAGGAAATGTCCAAGACACGAAGCCATTTCAAAGGCCCAGTGAGGAATATGAAGAAGGCTTGCAGGAACTGGGCATGGCTAGTTTAGGGAAGAGAAGGACCAGGGGAGACAGGATAGCATCTTCCAATATTTGAGGGGCTGCCACAGAGAGGAGGAGGAAGGGGTCAAGCTATTTTCCAAAGCACCAGAGGGCCAGACAAGGAACAATGGATGGAAACTGAACAAGGAGAGAGATTCAACCTGGAAATAAGGAGAATTTTTCTGGCAGTGAGAACAAATCAACCCACAGAACAGAATTTGTGGGAGCGTCATCCTTTGGAAGCTTTCAAGAAGTGATTGGTTTGCCATTTGTACGGGGCAGAGGTGTCCAATTTATGTTGCTAAGCGAGACAGTTGTCAAGCGAATGTTTTTGCCCTGTTTTACAACCTTTTTTGCCATGGTTGTTAAGTTAATCACCTGCAGCTGTTAGGTTAGTAACACAGTCACTAAGTGAATCTGGCTACCCCATTGACTTTGCTTGTCAGAAGGTCACAAAGGAGGAATCACATGACACACACACACACACCCGGACACTGCGACTGTCATAAATACGAGTCATTGCCAAGCGTCTGGATTTTTGATCACGTGACTGTGGGGAATGCCGCAATGATCTCAAAGTGTGAAAAGCGGTTGCGAGCCACTTTTTTTCAGTGTCGTTGTAACTTGGAACGGACACTAAGCGAACAGTGGCAAGTCAAGGGCTGCCTCAGATTCTTCTTTCTGCTTGTGAGGGGAAAAAAAAAAATTGCTGCCAACGTCCCTTCGTGGTTGCCAGTTTGAGGTGTTTTTGTGTGTGTGTGTGTGTGTGTGTGTGTGTGTGCGTGTGTGTTTGAGTGCGTGTCTTTGTGTTTCTCTGTGTGTGAATCTCTCCTGTGCCCACTGCCTCTCTCGCCCGTCCGTGCATGTGGAAATAACGCTCCAAATAGGGGCCGTGTCAAAACGCATCTTAATTACAGCCTCCCAACGCAGCGATTGTTTTCCCCAATGAGCCACAACTGGAGAAGAGCAAAACTCAGCATAATTAAGGATGATTAAAAGTGACGTCCCGTTCAGGAGGGGTGGGGAGGGGGAAGGCATCCTTGGAAGGGAGGGAAGAATATGCAGAGGGGGCAACCTGGTTTGTTTGGGTGGTGGGGTTTGTTTGAAGAAAGGAGGAAAGAGAATGGAATAGAGTTAAATTGATTAGAATTAAAATTATTAGAATTAGAATGGAGGGGAAGGGAGGGAAGGGGAGGAGAGGAGAGGAGAGGAGAGGAGAGAAGAGAAGAGAAGAGAAGAGAAGAGAAGAGAAGAGAAGAGAAGAGAAGAGAAGAGAAGAGAAGAGAAGAGGAGAAGAGAAATCATTTGGAATGGAATGGAATAGAAAATAGAATAGAATATAGAATATAACATAGAATCTTTATTTAGAATGACATGGAATGAAATAGAAATATGGAATCTTTATTTGGAACGGAATAGAATAGAATATAGAATAGAATAGAATATAGAATGGAATGGAATAGAATATAGACTATAGAATAGAATAGAAATGAAATAGAAATATAGAATATTTGGAATGGAATAGAATAGAATATAGAATGGAATAGAATAGAATATAGACAATAGAATAGAAATGAAATAGAAATATAGAATATTTGGAATGGAATGAAATAGAATAGAGAATAGAAATGAAAGAAATAGAAATATTGAATCTTTATTTGGAATGGAATAGAATAGAATATAGAATAGAATAAAAGATGGAATATAAAATGGAATAGAATAGAACATAGAAATGAAATAGAAATATAGAATATTTGGAATGGAATAGAATAGAATATAGAATGAAGTGGAATGGAATGGAATAGAATATAAAATAGAATAAAATATAAAATAGAATGGAATGGAACAGGATAGGATAGGATAGGATAGGATAGGATAGGATAGGATAGGATAGGAGAGGATAGAATAGGATAGGATAGGATAGAATTCTTTTATTGGCCAAGTGTGATTGGACACACAAGGAATTGGTCTCCAGTGCAGAGATTCTCAGTGTACGTACAAACAACAAAGTAAAATAATCATAAGATACTTATAGGAGAAGGTAGTAGGAAAGACAAGAAGGATAATGCAGGTAGTAATACAGTAATACTGCATGGATAAATATCCTTAGACATAAGACAGTGCTGTGGGAATTGTGTGTTTAGCAGAATCATGACATGGGGGAGAAACTGTCTCTGTGCCTATGTATTTTGGCACAAAATGCCCTTCAGCAGGTCCCCCAAGGGAAGGAGTTAAAACATTTTGCATTCCTGAGACACAGAATATGGTGTGTGTGGAACAGAGAACTCGGGCTGGCTAAATAGCTTTCTTGCCTGGAAAAACAGCAGAATTGCAGATTAAGAATTCTCTTTACCTGTGTTTTTAACCTTGCCAACTTTAAGGTGGGTGGACTTCAACTCCCAGAATTCCCCAGCCAGCATGCTTTAAGGTGGATGGACCTCAATACCCATAATTCCCTAGCCAGCTTCCTGGAAGATGGGTGGACTTCAACTCCCAGAATCCCCCAGTACAGGTAGTCCTCAACTTACAACAGTTCACATAGTGACGATTCAAAGTTATACAGCAGCACTGAAAAATGTACTGAAATATGTGGTTTCTCAGAAATTACTTGGAAAGTCAGGAAGACGATTTCCCATGTTGTAGGTCTGTGCATTGTAGATGTGTGAACACATGTTGCTTGCTATGATCAGGAAGGTGGGTTTTAAAGCAGCTTAAATGTAGAGGCTGCCTTGGAAAATTACAGGCTAAATTGGAAATATAAAAACCGTGTTTCCTCGAAAATAAGACCCTGTCTTATTTTATTTTTTTTTGCCACCAAAAAAGGCACTAGGTCTTATTTTGGGAGGATGTCATCCACTGACTAACCTCACTTGCGCGCGTCGCCTCTGGCCTCCTTTTCACTGTCAGAGGCCTTCAGGAGCTTCTTCTTCTGCGGCCAGCAAGGCTTTCCTGAAGGCCACTGCAGCTGATAAAAGAACTCAGGATCGATCCAGAACTTTGTTATCAGCTACAACTTGCCAGCCTTGCTGGCTGCAGAAGAAATAGGCCTGCAAGGCAGGTGTTGGGGTGTGCGAGGCCTGGCTACAACTGTCCAAAGGTAAGTAGTAGGACAGCTCCACCCTTCTGCCTTTCCCACCCTAGCTTAATTTTTATCTGTGTACTCCAGAGTGGGTGGGATCTTAATTAGGGCTTATTTTTTGGGGGGTAGGGCATGTAAAAATCAAGCTAGGACTTACTTTCAATGTAGGTCATATTTTCAGGGAATCAGGGTAGGTAGTCCTTGACTTACAACTGTTCGTTTAGTCACCATTCGAAGTTACAGTGGCACTAAAAAAAGCAACATATGACCATTTTTCACACTTATGACCGTTTCAGCATCCCCAGGGTCATGCGATCCCTTTTGATGAGCAAAGTCAAAGGGGGAAAGCCAGATTCGCTTAACAACCGTGTTCCCTGCTTACCAACTGCAGTGATTCAGTAAACAACGGTAGGAAGAATGCTCGCGGGACTAATCGAAGAACCGGAGCGATTGGCTTAACAAATCTGGCAAGAAAAGTCGTAAAACAGAGCAAGACTCCGTTAACATATTTCTCCACAAAGCAACATCCATTTCGGCCTCTGGGGTGGTCGTAAGTGGAGGACGGATCTGTACGCTACATGAAAAAATAAAATAAAATTAAAGAGTAACCCAAACCCTCTCAAAGCATCTGTGGAAAACAAGAGACTAATGGGATTTTGAAGTGGTGCCAACGAGCTGCTGAAAAAAATTATGAGAGTGTCATTTTAAGATGAAGAGAGTCGAGAGAGAGAGAGAGAGAGAAACTTTCAGAATAGCATCGGGGTTTGAATACTGACAGCTCACTCGCCCTCCGATATCTTGCTATTAACGCAGATAAAAATATCCTTCTTTTTTGAAATAGAAGGGAAAAGAAAACATGGAAAGCATTATTCTCAAAGAATTAATCTCTATTATCATACGTGCCGTTCCCCCGAAAATATGACCTACCCTGAAAGTAAGTCCTAGCTTGATTTTTTACACGTGCGCCCAATATAAGCCCTACCCCCCAAAATAAGACCTGATTAAGATCCCGCCCACTCCAGAGTGCACGGGTAAAAATTAAGCTAGGCTGGGCATGTTGGGGTGGAGCTGCCCTACTACTTACCTTTGGACAGGTGTAGCCAGGTCTCACACACCCCGACACCTGCCTTACCCGCCCATTTCTTCCACAGCTGTCAAGGCTTTCCTGAAGGCCTCTATAGCCGATAACAAAGCTCTGGATCGATCCTAAGCTCTGTTACCGGCTGCAGAGGCCTTCAGGAAAGCCTTACCAACTGCAGAAGAAGAAGTCCCTGAAGATTCACTTAACAACGGTGGCAAGGAAGATAGTCAAATGAAGCAAAAACTCACTGAACCACTGTCTCACTTAGCCACAGAAACTTTGGGCTCCGCTGCGGTCGTAAGTCGAGGACTGCCTGCAAAAGAGAAAATCTTTCGCCCCTTTTTAAAACAGGAGTGTACTTGTGTGCGTGTGTTTGTGAGTGATTCTGCCCTGGAGGGCTAAAATGGTTTGAATTTTGGAGTTAACAAGATTGTCCCTTGTTTCATAACCGGCTGTGAGGATCAGAAGATGATAAAAAGAGAGGCGGACAAGG